TGCTGCGGTCGTTTCTGCTGCTGCTGCTGCTGCTGCTGCTACTGTGTCGTCTGTCGTGTGTGAACTATTGCTAGTTTGATCTGTGGTTGGTGACGATTGGGTGATCACTGTTCCGTCTGAAATATTCAGAACGGTCATGGTTACTTCTAAAAGGTTCCTTTCTGCCGTGGTAGCTGTGCTGTTTACTACATCATTACCCTCCAAAGTAGTTGCTTCTGATGAGACTGCACTAATTAACACATCCGTTATTATTTCTTGTGTAGTTTCTGTACTGTTCATGAAATCATTCTCCAAAGTAGTTGTTTCTGCCATTGCTAGACTAGTCAACACATCAGTTGCTGTTTCTTTAGTGGATTCTGTGCTGTTAGCTAAATAATTATTCTCCAAAGTAGTTTCTGTTGTGACGGCACTAGTCAACACATCAGTTGTTATTTCTAAGGTGGACACGTCTGTTACGTTTGTAGTGTTCATCAAACCATCAGTTGCCTTGACGGCGGCTGTATCTGTCAACGCTGTCACCGTCTCCACTGTATTGTCCGTGTCGCCAGTGGTGACGTTATTGGTGACGTCATTGGAAACGTCAGTAGTGACGTCAATGCTGCCATAACTCGTTACGTTAGTGGTGACGTTAGTAGTGACGTCAGTGCTGCCATCAGTGGTGACGTTAGCCGTTACGTCACTGGAAACGTCATTAGTGACGTCAATGCTGCCATAACTCGTTATGTTAGTGGTGACGTTAGTAGTGACGTCAGTGCTGCCATCAGTGGTGACGTCAGTGCTGCCATCCGTGGTGACATCAGTCGTGACGTTGGTAGTGATGTTGATAGTGACGTCAGTGGTGACGTTGGTGGTGACGTTAGTGATGTTATCAGTGGTGACGTCAGTGCTGTTATCAGTGGTGACATAAGTGGTGACGTCAGTGGTGGCGTTGGTGGTGACGTTGGTGGTGACGTTGGTGGTGAAATCAGTGCTGCCATCCGTCGTTCCGTCAGTGGTGACGTTGTTAGTGACGTCAGTGCTGTCATCTGTCATTGCGTCAGTGGTGACGTTGGTGGTGACGTCAGTGCTGCCATCCGTCGTTGCTTCAGTGGTGGCGTTGGTGGTGACGTCCGTGGTGACGTTGGTGGTGACGTCAGTGATGACGTTGGTGGTGACGTCAGTGCTGTCATCTGTCATTGCGTCAGTGATGACGTTGGTGGTGACGTCAGTGCTGTCATCTGTCGTTATGTTGGTGGGGACGTTGGTGGTGACGTCAGAGGTACGTCACCACCAACGTCGGTGGTGACGTCAGTGGTGACGTTGACCTCCACGTCATTCTCCTCGGTTGAAGCGTCAGCAGCTACAGTAGCAGCTGAAGGCGTTGCTGTGTCGTTCTGCTCGTCCTGTTGCTGGTCCACAGTGGCGCTGACGCTGCTGATGCTGCTGCTGATGCTGCTGATGCTGATGCTGATGCTGCTGATGCTGATGCTGCTGCTGCTGATGCTGATGCTGCTGCTGCTGCTGTTATCTAACGCGTGCGATACAAAAACACCTGTACGTATACACGCACGCACACACACACACAGACACACACACACGCCCGCGCACGCACGCACACACACACACGAGCACACGCCCACGCACGCACACAGAGCCCCCCCCCA